ATATTAAAATAATTTTTATTTAATTAATTTAGAATAAAAGTAAGCTGAGACAAATTAATTTTATTTGCTGAAAAGCCTTTACAGCTATAAGGGCATTTGAGTCCATTTACCAAAAATTAGTGCTTATCAACATTCTTTTACCAAAGCACTCTTGGTTGCTTATTTTCAGTTTCAGCACTTTTATCCAAACACGTAACTATTTATTTAAAAAACTGTTTCAGCACTTAAAAGTACTTTTCAGTACTTGATGCTTATCGGCTAATTCAAATCAGCTAAGTCAAACGGGCTCCTAGTGTTACACTGTGGACCACCGATGGTTCATCTCCCTAGAATATATACAATATATACAGACCTAATAATCAAGAGAGAATGACTCTCTATAGCCCCTCAAAATTTTAATAGCCCATATTTTTTTCATTGACATGAAATGTCCCTCCGGCCCAAACATATTACATCTAATAGCCCGAAATATCACTATCCATAAATTATTTAGTGACAGTCTATTTTGTATATTTTTTGTATAGTGACAATCTATTTTATAATATATTTTGTATAGTGTCAGTCTATTATCTATTGTATATAAATTTTATAGTGACAGTCTATTTTGTATATTTTTTATATAGTGACAGTCTATTTTGCATATATTTTGTATAAGACAGTCTATTGCATATAAATTGTATAGTGACAATCTATTTTGTATATATTTTGTATAGTGCGAGTCTATTTAGTATATTTTTTGCACAGTGACAGTCTATTATATATAAATTTTATAGTGGCAGTCTATTTTGTATATATTTTGTACAGTGACAGCCTATATTGTATATATTTTGTATAGTGACAGCCTATTAAGTATATTTTTGTATAGTGACAGTCTATTGTATATAAATTGTACAGTGATAGTCTATTTTGTGTATTTTTTGTATAGTGACAGTCTATTTTGTATATATTTTATATAGTAACAATTTATTGTATATAAATTGTATAGTAACAATCTATTTAATATATATTTCAACGTTATGCATAGTTATCTGAGAAAGAACAAGCATAAAATTTCTACAATTCAAAAAATAGTTCCAATTAGAACAATCATCGATAAACTCTCTTTCCAATTTTGCTCTCCAACTTTGTTTTTGGTGTAAGGACTAAAGTAAGATAGAAAATAGAAAAAGGGAACCGCAAAATGGAATTTAACAAGGAAATAAAACTGTTTGCCTTCATATTGCTGGCTTTTGCATGCAGTTAAGAGTTATTGCATTGTGTGGTTGTGACATTTCTGTGAAATTCAAGTTACATCCAAGAAAGAATAAACATGAAAAACGTTGTGCAAAAAATGGTTTTGCATTTTAGAGTTAAACAATGGCCAAAAACTATTTAAGTGGATTATGCTAATCCATACAGAGAAGAAACAAAATTGGATGCAAACCTCAACCATAAGGCAAATTTCATTATAGGAATTCCAGAGAAAGGTTACTTGCGTGGGAAGTTATCAAAATAGATAAATTCCATTATTTTTAGGCTATGACTTCTATAAGGTCATTTTGTGTCTACCGGGTTAGGCCCGAGTGGTTATAAATGAATTTTGCTCAATAATCAACTAATCCCGTAAATATGTTCACATATTCCCAAGATGATATGCACCTCCGAATATACTTGGTGTCACTGTAATGACGTTACAAAATTAGCTAGACATATTGTACAAAACTTATAGGGCTTTACAGAGAATAACATGAATGGTGAAAATGTCCAAACAACTTTTAATAAGTAAGTTCTGTGGACTATTTGTTATATTTATGCGACCAAAAGAAAAAGAGAAGAAAAAGAAAAAGCATGTAATCAAGATTGAAAGTCTTAAATGATCATCTTCCTCCTCCTCTGCTTCTACTTTTGCTGTTGCTGCTTCTTCTTCTTCTACTTCTTCTGTTTTTCTTCTGCTTCTGCCGCTACTGCTGCTGCTGCTGTAACCAAGATTGAAAGTCTTAAATGATGACGCTAAAAGCTCTGTAACTTTGTCATCTTCCTCCTCCTCATCCTCTTTCTTTTCTTCTTCTTCTTCTTCTTCTTCTTCTTCTTCTTCTTCTTCTTCTTCTTATTCTTCTCCCTTCTCTTTTTCTTCTGCTGCTGCTTCTTCTTCTACTTCTTCCTCTTTCTCTTCCTCTTCATATTCCTCTTTTGCTTCTTTTTGTTCCCTTTTTTTTAACACTATTAACAATTGTGTTAGGATTGATGTTAAAGCATACATAAGATATAAACCTACTCTGCAGTTATAACCTACTCTTCTGTTTCTTTTTGTTCCCTCTTAAATTGAGTTACTTTATCAAAAAAAAAATTAAGGGTGAAAAGAAAGACATACCGAGAGTAATGTGGAAAAAATATAGACCTTGAGGTTGTCACATCCTGTAGTTGCTCTCTACTTCCTCAATCTCCAAAGCTGAAGCCTTGAGATTATCATCACAATCGATCACCTTGATTGATGTAAGTGTTCCATTTCCACAAAACTTTCAGGAGAATCTTCTCAAGCAATTCAACAGATCTTAGCACTAAACTCTCAAGCATGGGAAATGATGATGATTCTGAGACATGCCATACCCTAAGCTGAACTCCTCGAAATTTTTAAGATTTGAGTACTGGGAACTCCATATCTCTCACGTCCCACTCCTCTTGCTCGAATATACACCCTTGAAATAACAGTCTTTGAAGGTTGGGTAACCCAGCGATTGTGGAAGTTGCACTTGCTAGTATATTAACTTGGCGGAGGATCAGCTCTTGAGACTTGAAGGTAAATATACTTGGTTGATATTACACATCGAACCAAGCACGAGGGATTGAAGCTGTGTAAGAACATCCAATTTCAGAACGGGAGAGTTAGATTCATCATTATCAGCTATCATGAGGAAAAGCTTTTGAAGATTGGGAAACCTCTCAATTAACTCTATATCCTCACGAAGTAAACACATGCCTTTAAAGGCCCTCAAATTCTCCAACTTAGACTGACCTTCTTCAGAAACTGCAAATAACTCACGAGGTAAAAGTGTTAATAGGTCTACATGCTTTAGTTTCGTCATCTTCCAAATATGAGGTGTCGCATCTACCATTCTCTCAGTATCCACCAGTAAAGTTTCCAGGTCGCACATGTGTGATACCCACTCGAAAAAAAACTTTTCGAAACACATTGCCAGGTATCTCAGGTGAACTAGTGATTGCAGTATATCTTCTATATTCGTATAATCCCCTGGAATGCAGTTCTTTGAAATCCAACACTCTAAGAAGTCTTAAATCTCCAACTGAAGAGAAATGATACGAACGAGATAAATACTCTTCAGAAACAGTACCATGAAAATTAGCCTCGCTATCCCAAAAATCTCTATAAGCAAGAAAATCATCCACGTTATTAGTAACAAAGAACGATTTAAGATCTTGTCCAAAAGATGTTCCTTTTTTGGAGCCGCTTGTGAGGAATCTATCTACTTTGTTGTTGAATCTCTGCAAATCATGACGAAGCTTATGGTCGAGGTGAATGCACACTCGATGTTCCTCATCATATGAAGGTTGATATTGGTTATGTGTCCCTATAACTTGCATGAACTTTTCTTCTTTAGCTTTGTTTAAGACAAAGTCACGCACTAGATCATGAATTTGCAAGTACTTCACCTTGCCATAAAAGGTCGTCTTTGAAACCATTAGTAGGCTACTAGAAATTATATCGGTCAAGTAAGCTTCAGCTACTGCCTCCAATCCTCTCTCATCACTACATTGAACGAGGCCTTCGGCCATCCAGAGTAACATCAATTTAGATGCTCCAATTTTTTCATCCTCCCTAAATACTCCCATAGTCAGAAGGCAATGTCTCAAATGATCCGGTAAGTAGCGGTAACTTAACTGCACTGCCAAGTTGCTCTCACTTTCAACTGCTCCAAGATGAGACTTTAAATTGTTTGCAACTTCACACCACTCTGAGACATTCCTTTCTTTCTTTGCCAGAATTCCACCAATCAAAACAACTGTAAGAGGCAGTCCTTTACAATATTCTGCAATTTGTACCCCAACATCCTGCAATTCAGGAGGGCAAGTTTCCTTTTGAAATGCTTTTTTCTCCAACAATTTCCAGCTCGCTTCCGTGGTTAGGAATTGAGGGGAATAAGGATCGGTACAGTGCTCGACTTCCATTGCCACATGTTCAAGTCGAGTTGTTAACATGATTCTGCTTCCTTGTTTACCGATTGGAAAACATAATCTTAACTCATCCCATGCCTTTACTTCCCATACATCATCCAAGACAATGAGATATCTTTTGCCTATTAAACACTTGCGCAACGTATCGGCTATGTCACTCTCCTTCTCTCCATTGTACTTAACACCCGTCACTTGCTTATAGATGTCCCTCAACAGCTCTCTCACATCATATGATTGCGAAATTGTAGCCCATGCTCGAACATCAAAGTGAGAAACAATAGAAGAAATCTTTGAATATCTTTTTGGCCAAAGTGGTTCTTCCGAGACCAGGCATGCCAAAAATAGAGAACAATATCCCGTTCCCTTATTCCTCTTGTCAGTAGCTTAATATCTTGTCAGCATCATCCTCAAGCCCAAGGGTTCCTCTTCAGTTACTTGAGTACTTGGTGTAGCAATCTCATTAATGTTGACATTCTCCATCCTAATTAGCTTGATCTCTTTTCGGGTTAAAATGCTTGCTGTCAGAGAGCAGTATGCCTAACATGAGTAATAGCAATGACATGGTCAATCTCCAGTAAGCAATAAAAAAACCAGTAAGTGTAGACAAAGACTATAAAGATCAGGAAAAAAATAGGTGCAAACAATGGTAATGCTCCAGTTAAGATTAGGAACTCTTAATTCTCTGTTATAGATTTGTAAATTGCCTGTAAATTGGAGTCTTTTCTTCAGATGTTTTTTGTTTCGTTAGTTACCACTCCAGCTCGTGAAAACCTAATGTAAAATTCCCCTTATGCATGAATTACATCAAGATATTCCCATTTTCAGATTCAGATTCCTTTACATGATCTATAAATTCCCAGTTCAATTAAACATTTACATTTATACTTTATTTCATTCATTATTAATCCAGCTTATTAAATATAGAATTCTGCATTCTATGACTAATCTTTAAATATAGCGACATATTTCAAAGTAAATGAAATAATAATTTTACAATCAATAACAGCATTGTATGAGTATAAATCCATGTTGTCATAATTTAATTTAAAAAAAAAATAGAAAAAGAACTCATTGAAGTTTAAAAGCTGCCACCTGTTTGAAAAAGGGTAATTAACAATCTCTAATCTGAGAACCTCATCTAATGTTCGAATTACATCAAAACATTCCCATTTTCAGATTCAGATTCAGATTCCTTTTACATAGAGATATCTATAAATTTCCAGTTCAATTAAACATTTACAATTATTCTTTTATTTCATTTATTACTAATCCAGCTTATTAAAATTCAGAATTCCGTGTTGTATGACTTACATTTAAAATCCCATACGATATAGCAACATATTTCAAAATAAATGAAATATATATATATATATATATATATATATATATATATATATATATATATATATATATATACACACAAGCAATAACAACACTCCAATCTGAGAACAAGAAAATATGAATTATATTCTTAAGCAAGAAAAACACTGACCTACAATTCTTAAGCAATGAACCTTCCGTCGTCTATCAGGAGCGGAGAGCTTCTAATTTGTAGTGATGGAAGTTTAGTCAATTATTAGAGAGAAGGAAAAGGGCTTTCACATTGAAGAATGATTCATATTCTCACAATGAATTTTTAATTATCAATGCCAGCTAGCTGCACAGTATATGTACAGTTGAGTTTCTAATTTATTACAGTAGTAATCAGAAAGGTATCTTAAAACACATAATCATAGTATATCTTATGTCACATTATTCCATGAATGGCCTTTTAATTATCAATGCCAGCTAGCTGCGCAGTATATGTATAGTTGAGTTTCTAATTTATTACTCCCTCCGTCTCAATTTATGCGAACCAGTTTGATTGGGCACGAAGTTTAATAAAAAATGAAAACTTTTAGAATTTATGGTCCTAAATAAGTCAAAAAGTGGCTTAGAGTATTTGTGTGGTTATAAAAGCTTCTCATTAAGAGTAAAATTGTAAGTTTAAGCTAAATTGTTATCAAATTTAGAAATGGATAATTCTTTTAGAACGAACCCGTCACGCCCTAAACCTGGGGGGCGAAACCGGCACCCGGTGCCTCAACTATCCTTGCGTACCAACTTGCGACTAAGGGACTCTGAACATATAATGTCATACTTTGGCCATGGGCCACATTGCAAGACAATCTGCAAACGCTGACTAAACATCAATATAAAGCTGGGCCGACAAGGCCGTCATATCTACTACAGCTGGCAAACCAATCAAAATATACATACAAGGCCTACAAGCCCAACATACTGCACTAACTTACATCGGCCCAAGTGACAACTGGATATTCGATCAAATTCTATTTCAATTGTTGTGAAGCTATGGAACTCCGATCATTGAGACCTTGAGTGAAGGCTTGAACAGCCCAATCATCGGTGAACGGCGGAAAATCCATTCTCTCTGTTTGGAACCGCGATACGAACTCCCTCAGCATCTCGTTATCTCTCTGCCTTACCTTGAATATGTCCGATTTTTTTGTTGCAACCTTAATGGCTCCGACGTGCGCGTTTACAAAGGAATATGCAAGCATAGAGAATAAATCAATAGAATTGGGTGGTAAATTATGGTACCATATCATGGCACCCTTTGATAGAACAACAACAACAACAACAACAACCAAGTATAATCCCACTTAGTGGGGTCTGGGGAGAGTTTTCCCAAATTTCTTCAGCAATACGGATTCAATTTCGTCATCTTCCAAGTCATTTCCTTTGATGGTGCATGTATACGAGGTGACGTGCTCATTCGGATCAGTTGTCCCGTTTTTCTTCGGAATCTCGGGCGTACGGAACTTCTTAGGGATTAGCTTCAGAGCCGCACTGGGTGGGGAAGGGTTTTTGTACGAACTTTTTAGAATCTAGCCATTTCAATACCGGAGGTGCCGGATTTGGTCGACCCTGGAATTATAAGTTTCCATTTTCTTATTATTTTCCTCGATCTTTGTTTCACCAGTCTCGATTCGCTTTGTCAGTTCCTCGAGCATCTTTACGATAGCAGGATTAGTCTCCGATTCTCCTCCATTCGATCTCTTTGGCACTGATTCAGTTCTATGAACAACTTCTTGTTATGGCTTGAGCTCGATCCTACTCGGTGCACGATTCTACTTTTGGAGTTGTGCTATTGCAGCTTGTTGATTCTGCAATATTTCAAATATCATTCGAAGGCTAATTCCGCCTTCTTCACCGCGCTGTGCGTTTCGATCGGTTGTTCGAGCGTCTCTGCGGATGCTATTTTCAGGATCGACGCCCAAATTTCCATTAATGACGATATGGGAGCTGACGTCAATAGGTTCCCCGGTCGGAGCTCCATCGGGGTTAACTGAAGGTACTCCGTTTCCTGGGGCGGCTATGTTTTCGCTTTGGCCTGAAGACCAAGGCCATTGTCTGTGTGTGCGGGCGCTACTTGAGAGTTTGACATGTTGATCCTGGAATCAAAGATACTTCGAAGAACAAGCGTAAAATAGTGCGTGTTACGAAAATTGTATCATGCAATGACTATTATCCTTAGCCCCACGGTGGACGCCAAACTGTTTACCCTTAAAATTGGATAACAATTAAACTTATAAGTGTTTTTAAGGATAAGTGATTTCACTTGGTATAAACTGATAAATGTGAAAATTAACGTAAGAAATTAATAGTAAAATAAAGCAAACCATAACAATTGTGGCCCTCGAGCTAGATCACTCTTGAACAACAAAAGTATGCTAAAAGTATGAACCAAACAACATAGCTTGAGAGAGCTCAAAAGAAAAGATGTAATATATTGCTTTGATCTACAAGAATGTATGTGCTTACAAAATGATTAGGACCATCTTTATATAGTAGAGGAATCCTATATATGGTACAATTCTAATCAGAAGGAAATCACATGATTAGCTAAATATCCGATATTGGCTTGATATGTGCCAAGGTTTCCGCCACGATCCTCGCCTGATCACGGCTATCTCGGCTTTTTGTTATTTGACCTTGCAGGCTTCTTTGTTCTCATTCGATCTCTTTCTCACTTCGGTCTCGGTCACGGCTGATATCGATCTGATCGACCATTATTCCACGAGCTTATTAATTCATCTCCGTATTATGATCCGATATAACCGAGGCCGAGCTTTAATCTGTCACTCCGATTTTGGTCAGTCATACAAAATTAGGCAAGCTCGATTTTACCCGTATACACCGCTGAAGCGGTATCCTTAAAAAGTTGTTTTAAACCAAATTAAAAAAATACTTAGCAGACTTCTTTTGGGACAAAATGAGGAAAATAGTAAGTGCCATTCAAGCTCATAGAGCAAATTATGCTAACATAAGGATGAGGCGGGAGTTGGATTTAATTCCCTTTCTAACATACAAGGCTATTTGCTATGAAACGATCGTGGAGACTGAGGACTCACCAGTGTCTATAGGATTCTTTCATAACGGCAAAGTATTGTCTAAGGACCAATATCATTGCTAGAAAATAGAGCTTTACTCAATCACAGAGCTGCAAAAAGCTCCTGGAGAGTAGAAAGAAAGCTGAGCCATATATGATATTAAGTTAATAAAGGAAATTCATTGTTTTGGTGGCACTTAGGGGTGTACAATGTAAATCGACAAACCGTACCGACCTGATAGTCTGAGTCAAACTGAGAAAAAAAATCCGACTATGATTTTGTTTGATTTGGTTTGGTGTTGGATAAAAAAACACAACCATAATTGGTTTGGTTTGATTTTAACTAAAGAAAGTTAAATCGAAACCAAACCAACCCGACATTACATATATAGAAATTTTAGATATATTTAATATATAAATAAACTTATTGTGATGTAATTTGTAAATATTTCTTAAACTTTTTTCATAATTTTATCTTTTAAGGTATTATTTCAAGGTTGGACTTAGAACTTTTGAATGTTCCAATAAGTTTTATGGTCATTAATATTAGTAACTTAAATAAGGGATAAATAATGCTAATAAAAGCCAAAACCAAAATTAAATCAATACTAATGCTAACAAAAGACATTCAATTCAATACTACGAACGGCAATGTATTGAATATCTATTTTTTTGTTTTGCAATAATTTAGATAAAAATACGTAACCTATTTTTATTTTTTCTTTAGCGTTTAATCATGTAATTAATACTCCCTTATTAGTCTACTTATTTTCGCATGACTTAGTACTTTTAGATTATGTTTATTTTTATTATTGTTTTTTAATTAGCAATATTTATATTACAT